ACACATTCTTGTATTTATTGCAAGAACAAAAATGTATCATACGCGGTCTTACCAATTTGATCAGGTAATTTATTTTTGTTTCTTACACGTTATATTTGTTATTTTCGATTATCAGGTTGTTATATATATATATATATTTGTTAGATTAATAAAAAGGGTGATCAGATGTATGCATTATTGGCCATTTGTATTGCTCTTTGTCCAACTCGATTAGATGAGAATATACATGCACATTTGAGAGAAAAATATGGTGAACAATTGAGCAAAATGCAACGCGGGTGAGCATTGAAAGAGTGCTTCTAAAGGATTTGTGTTTTTTTTTTCCTACTTTTAAAATTAATTATTTATAGTGAAGAAGGGCTTCAGACGTTTGAAGATTTGTTTTTGTATGCATGTCCGAAATTTATTTCACCGATTGGACCAAATTTCGAAGATCTTAATTCTTTGATTCAAGCAATTGTATGATATAATATTTTAATATTAATTTATTTAAATAGTTTACTATAAATTATTATTTACGACATATTACCATTCATAACTCGTAGGAACCTCATCACCATCACGCAAAAATCTTTCTTGCTGAAGTCCGTCATCAAATACTAATTCCAACACTAAGGTCGTATCTGAAGTTATATACGACCATGGGAATTGACAAGTTGGCAGCTTTCCTTGAAATAGAACCTGAAAAGTTAAGGTAACCGATAGAATTGTATATATATTATAGGAATAAGATAGGATAATAAGAATTTGTATATTAGGACCCAGTTACTTATAGTCAAGCAAAAATCACGCCAGCAGAAATGGATTAGTGGTACATTGCTTGAGGGAGAATATGTTGCAACTTCTGATCTTGACTTTTGCCTGAAGCAGGTTATTGATTGAACATGTTTAATAACTTGTTTGAAAATGTTATGGTAAATGTTATATTAATTCAATCATTATCTCATTATTTATAAATTTTAGGATATGGTTCATATTGCCGAATCTAAAGTTGGACGTCGTTATGGAGATTGGTTTTTGCGTAATATAAATAAATTCCAAGTAAATATGTATATGGAATTGAGTCAATGGAAACCAAGCAAAATTTTTAAGAAATTTGTTTTTTTTTAACATAACAAGAGCTATCAAATTTGAAAAATTTTTTTAATCGATTCTACATATTTATAGTATTGATTTAAAAAAATTATCAAAGTTGGTTGAATCCTTATTATTATTATTTAAGCTGTAAAGTGTTTTATTGTAAAAAAATTGCTTGATTTTTATTGACTTGCCTTTGTATTATAATCAATTATATTTTGGAATTTAAATGCTTATTATTTACCAATTATTATTTGTAACTAGGATATTATTGCAGGGATGGAGCTTCGTGCCTGACATAATCTAGGTTGTTAATCCATTTTCGAGAAAAGGTTCTAAATTATCCCTTAAGCTGTAAGCAAATTCCAGATAAATTTGTCTAGAAAATTATTATAAATTTATTTATTTTTTAAAAATAAATTTTTTAATAATATTTAAAAATAAAATTTATAATTATATCTTAGATGTTTGAAATATAATTTGTAATTTGTATTACAAAATTTTATTAAATACAACAAATAATTTAGATTAAAATTAAAAAAAATAGTTTGTAATAAAGTTTTGTAAATTCTTTTAAGATTTAAAAATATTAATAGATTGGATTTACGTATTAAACAGAAATTTAACTAACACAGTGCATTTATCAGAAATATATAAGACAAAATTAATATTTTTATCAATATTTTCAATATATCTAGCTGGCAATCTACAGTATTAGCTTTTTTTTAAACTTACAAGCATTCTTATATAGCTATTAACTTACTTTTTTTATATTATTTATATTATGCAATTAGTTACATATATTTTATTAAATATTATACTAAAAATTTTTAAAACTATAGTAATAAAATTTATTTCTGTATATAGTATTATTTATAATATATATAATTATTATTATTATTATTATTTGTATTAAGGTGGCTTTTTGGCTGCTTACTTTTATTTTTTTATTTTTATTTTTTTTTTTAATCTTTGGCAACCTTGCTGGTGATCCTTTATTAAGATTATTATATAAATAGATTACATAATGTTGAGCTTAATATCTAGGCCCGACATCCCTTGGCTACCTCATGGGTATCCAGAAGCGGTCTGCCGCACTGATTTGAAATTTGTTTCATAACCAGAAGGCTAATACCAGGTTAGTTGCACAAACTATACCAAAAGGGTTTGCAACTATTTTGTATTAATTTTCTAAAACTATTAAACTATCTATTTTCTATTCTTCTTATACCTTCCTTTTTTTCTTCTTTTAATCTAATATTCCTTTCTAGTTTCTCCACATTAGTTCTAATCTTTGAACCTCTTTTCTGTGTCTTTGTTTTAGCTAAATTTGGACCTGACTTCTTTCTTTCTTTCATTGATCTGCTATTATGTTTTTCTTTAGTTGTAATATCTTTATTTATTTCCCATCTTCATATTGTTTTACATCTTTTTATCTATATATTTTCATAAAAGCAGTTCTAAATTATATTTATAGCAAATTCGATATAGGTCTTGGCATTTTTTCTTGATTGCAAAGTTTTTTGTATTTTTTCTGCCTTGTTTTCTTAAATCAGACCTTTGATTGCTTTGGCTCTCATTTCTAAAGATTCTTCTTTTGACTCTTCCCTGAGAATTTCTTTGAGTAGATCTTTATTTGTTCTCATTTAGGTTTCCTCTAGAAGGGCTGTCCATGCTATATTTGCTATTAGTTTTTTTGCAATCTTCCAGCTATTCTCTTGTTCTCTGCAGCTTGCTAGATGATCTTGATCTTCTTTAACTTTTTCATTACATATTATGCAATTAGAATCTTGATATAGGTCTGGGCATCTTTGTGCTAGTGTCTGAAGTACTGGTAATTTTTCGTTAACACATTTAATTAGAGCTTCAAAGCATTTGTTTTTCTTTAATATTGTACATCTAACTTCACTATTTCTCTTGATTCGCTTCCAAAAATAGGTCTATTCGTTAGCTTTGAGATCTTCTTCTGTTTCTATTTTTTGAATTGCTTTCGATTCTTTCCAGTTCACTGTTATCTTAAGGTCTAGAAGTGTTTTGATTACTTGTCTTACTGAATGCTCAATAAGTATTCTATCCCAATATAGTGAAACATTTGATCTTAATAGGGATTAAAGATAATTCTATCTATATTTATTATCATAGTACCTTGTTTTGCTAAACTATCTGCTTTGTCATTCCACCTAATATTACTATGACTTTTAACTTTGACTAAATTTAATTGAACTTCTTTTACCTTAATTAATTCTATAATACTATGCACTAAATCATGATTTTTCTGTTTTAGCTATTGTTTACTTAAAAGATTACTATTTCCCTTCTCTATACTTGCAATTGCTACTGCACTATCTGTATATATCTTGACTTTCTTCCTGCTAGGTATTATGAGAATTGCTAATCAGATCGCCATCAGTTCTGGTTTGGTTGATGAGGACCAATTTTCTGTCCTGGCAAAACCTTCTTTAATTATTGTTTGTTCGTTATGATCTACTTGTACGATTCCTATACCCATATGATTTGAGTCTTCTGTATTACTTCTTGTTTGTTGTAATGATCCATTAGTATAAAAAGTTAGATCTCTATATGGTAGTGACTGATTGTTCTGGTTCCACTCAATCAAATCCTCTTTAAGTTTTAGTGATATATCTTGTTTTTGGATTATCTCTGTGTCTAGATCATAACTAACAATTTGTATATATCGAAATTCCTCTTCAGTTATTCTTACTTTTTTACTTCTATATTGTACTTCAATTGAATTTAAAAGAATCTCTAATCTCCATTTATATCCTCTTCTTTTAATGAAGGTAGATAAAGATCCTTGGATTTTACTTCTGTGATACCACCTCTCACAAGATTCAATTGCTTCTTGATAGTTTAATTCGCACTCTGTGCATTTTTTTAGTATAAAGTTTCCTGTATTGTACATATCATTTAAGTTCCAATATTCTACTAGAATTGTCTTTTGTCTTTTTGAGATTACTTGTACGATTACTAGTTTTGAGTTCTCTTCGTTCTTTGGTGGTTTTATGATTATCCACTCCTTGATCTGATTATCTGCTGAAAGTTTAGTCAGTTGAGCTCTTAAGAACCATCTGTTGTTTCTCTCTGTTCTGTATTGTGATTTAACAAGCCTGTCATGTAAGTTCTCTATTATTAACTCTTTAATTTGTTTAAACTATTTAGCTTTTCTGTTTCTGCTTGTTTCTTTTTTAAGAAATTTGAGTTGTTGCCAAGTTATCATTTGTTCTTCTCTTAGATCTAGCAGTTAGTCGATAAGTGTCAAGTTCAGACTCTTAAAACAATATGCTATGGGAGCCATAAACAGTTTTCTTAATATAATACAAGTTTTCGATTTTGATTGAATTCTGAAAGGTTGGTACTGCTAAAGTTAAAAACAAGATTAAGTTCCTTTGCTCTTAATATTGTTAAGTATGCTAAATTGTTTTTCCAAATTTTTGAATATATTTCTAAGGTCTCTTTATACCAGTTATTTTCTGAAGCACCAACAAGAAGAAGACCTTTTTCAATTCTTATTTTTGTTAATATTTTCTCTGGACCAATTGAGTTGAGATGATTATGAAGGCTTGTAATTTGCTTAAGTAACAGCTGATTCTACAGAAGAAAGCAGTTACCTAAACTTCTATGATATACTATGCTTGTTCTTGTCATACATGCAATCTCTAATTTTTTTTGCTATTTGTAGTAGTGGTATATGTATATTGTCAATTATTTTCTTAGGCATCTTTGTGACTTGCAATATGTAATATAATTTAGAAATTATATATGTTGTTTATACAGAACACTTGACTGATCATTATCTTTTTAGTGATAAGACCTCTAGATATTGATTGTATGATTTCTTTTACCTTGGCTTTAACTGTCTTTTCTTTCATCTTGTTATTTAACCAGATTCCAAGAAATCTTGTTATTTTGTTTCTACTTTCCTCATATATCCACTCTTTTCTAAAGAAAACTTTCTTTTCTTCCTTGGTGTCTTTTGAATTCTTCGTAATTAGCTTAGTCTTTTTTCCATTAATTTAAATGTCATTTATTCTGAAGAATTCTTCTGCAATTGAAAGTGTTTTTTCCATCTGCTCTCTGTTCTTTGCAATCCACGTCATATCATCTGCAAAAGCCACTACTGCTAGTCTCTAAGTATTGTTAATTACCGAATTTGAGTTTGAATCTAATGGTATTTATGAGTTACTGTATATCCTAATTCGGCATCTCATTGAATTCTTTCCAGAAGTGGGTTATAAAAATTCTCCACACTAATGATGAAATTACTTCACCTTGCTTTATCTCTTCTTGTTTTTCAAAGAAGTTTGTTGGACCTAGATCTGTGATAATTTTAAATTATCTATTTTCAAAAAGATTAAGTATAAGTCTAATCATTATTCCAGGCAGCTTGATTCTTTTTATCACTTTTCATAAAGCTTTTAGTGATACTGAATCGAAAGCCTTTTTCATATCTTGAAATACAATCCACAATTCTTTTCTATTGTCTTTTGCATTCTCTATAATTGTATTTAGAATATACACTGGCTCTTTTGTAAAATTACCTGAGAGACTGGCAAAATTTATACCTTTTAGTATATTCTTTTCTAGAAGAACTCTAACAAGTTGCTTGGTAAGCACTTTAGTTATACACTTGCGGAATATTTCTAATAATGCAATTGGTCTGACATTATTTAAATTGTAGTGCCAGTCTTCTTCTTTTGGAATTGAGTATATCTGAGACAATTTTTACTTTTTCAGAACCATTCCTGTTTTTATGTATATGCTTGTAATATTTCTAAAAACCTCTT